AGAGAGAGAGAGAGAGAGAGAGAGAGAGAGAAAGAGAGAGAGATGGAGAGGGAGAGAGAGACAGCCAGACAGACAGCCAGACAGACAGCCAGACAGACAGACAGACAGACAGAAACACAAAAGATACACCATCAATAAATGTATTGGCAATATAATGTCTACCGAGTAACAAGTCTGACATCATTTCTTTCTCATTATCTTTCAGTTTTAGTTAAGAGTTCGTTTTAATTTAGTTTTAGTAAGAGTTTTACGGCACTTGCAACACAATAAGTACATATAAGTGCCGAAGATTAGAGGTGTTACAAGAGAGCAACAAACAGAAAAAAGAAGGAGGGGTGGAAAGAAGATGCAAACCACTCCAGAGCACCCACCAACCACCCACTGTTAAGAGTTTTACGCCACTTGCAACTCAATACAGTCACATAAATTCTTCTCCAGGTTCCTCGTAGCCTTCCCCTTTTCCTTTGACCATGTTACGTACGATGGTGTCACCAATAAATTTCAGGTTGCTATTGCGGATGTGAATACAATGTACCACGATTTCAGACGAAAGAAGAAACTGACCTAATTTAGAGGAGACACAATCGTTAAATTTAGAACCGGATGTCACAAACAGACTTGCCAACAACTTCAAAACGTAATCAGAGACACTGAACATAATAAACGGGAGGTTGGAAGGAGTTCTAGTATAATTTGCTTGTTCTTTCCTATCAAACATCTATCGTCCTTATCTCTCCTCCTTTTCTTTTCTTTTTTTTTTTTTTGGAGTGTTTGTTACTCTCTTGTAACACCTCTAATCTTCGACACTTTTATGACCTTATTGAGATGCAGGTGCAATAAAACTCTTATGAAATAAAAGATATAAAAAACAACAGCAAACAAAGAAACAAATGTAATATCATCAAATTTCAAAACGACGGACAAAAATTACGTCAGATAGGAAAGGTTTTGGTGTAGGTCTAATTATTATGTGACAACGCTCTCAAATTCCTGACTGCCAAATCCGGGAGTGTTCCGGAAACTGGGGACAGTTGGCAAACCAAGGATAATTCACAGGATGCCACGGCGAGCCAGTTCAACTATCCCAAGACGTCGATCTGTTTTTAAGTTATGGTACTTGCAACACAATAAGGTCATATAAGTGCCGAAGATTAGAGGTGTTACACGGGAGTAACAAACACAAAAAGAAGGAGGGGAGATAAATACGACAGATGTTTGATTGGAAAGAAGAAGCAAACCACACAAGAGCACCCGCCAACCATCTCAAGTTCCTGACTTCCAGATCCGGGACAGTTCCGGAAACTGGGGACAGTTGGCAAGCCAAGGTTAATTCACAGGACGCCACGGCGAGCAAGTTCGAGAATGAAGGCGCTATGGTACTTGCAACACAATAAGGCAATATAAGTGCCGGAGATTACAGGAGTTACCAGCGAATTACAAACACAAAAAAGAAGGTAAGGAGATAAGGATGATAGATAGATGTTTGTTGGGAAAGAGGTAGCAAACCACACCTAAGCACCCGCCAACCACCCACAGGCATCCCCCTGTTTTTCCTGTTCAGTATAAGTCTTCCAAATTTCAGCTAATTCAACTTTTCTATGTTTAAATACACTCTGTGTACATCGAATAGACAGTTCATTTCTACTCAGTTTGTGGTTATATATTATGCAAATAGGTTTGTAGATAAGGAGCGGGGTAATTCTGGAAATTTAAATGGCAAAATTGGCCGCGTACAAAGGGGAAATAGACTTGGGAATACTAAGAGTTGAATGTGCAGAAGAGTGAGAAGACATTTAGTGACATCAAGCGACTCGCCCAGGATAAGGAAAGGTGGAAAGTGTTTGTTCGTGGCCTATATCCTGATCCAGGGTGAAAAAGGCAAAGATGATGATGATACTTAGAGTTCAACAACAAGTTTATTGAAGATGGTTTATTTTATTGACATAGGTTATATTATAAGAGCGGAGTTGTTTGGAGGTTGACTTTGTGGTGTTGAAAACAGGGATGACAAAATTGGCTGTGCGCAAAGGAGGAATAGACTTTGTTTATTAACTAAGAGTTAAACAGAATGTTTGTTGAAGAAGGTTTGGGGGTGGTTGGCGAACGCTCTCCTGTGGTTTTCTCCTTCTTTCCTGTCAAACAGCTATCTTTTTTAATACCTTTCCCCTTCTTTTTAGTGTTAGTTACTATCTTGTAACACCTCATATCTTGGTGACTTATACTAATATGACCTTATTGTGTTGCACATACTGTATATCTTTTACCAAGACAAACTCTCTTGAAACAGCTTTACTCTTCGGCACTTGTACGACCATATCAAAAGCGCCGTGAAAGAAGAAGAAGAAGAAGAAGAAGAAGAAGAAGAAGAAGAAGAAGAAGAAGAAGAAGAAGAAGAAGAAG